ATTTTTTGTGAGTAATTACAATTTATGGGGATACGGGGAGAGGGGTATGGAGGGGAAATTTTTATTAAAAATTTTAGTAATGTGGGGAGGAATGTGCATTACATTTATGATTCAGTAAAAGAAGGGGAAAATTTGTATCGAATAAATTGTGAATAAATTGGTAAGTGATGAGGGATGTGGGTATTGTTGTCGAACTAGATATATCGAAAAAAGATGTTATAAGCTGGTTGTATGACTTCACATGCTGTTGGAGTGTTAGCAATGAAACATTTATGAAGTAATTCAGGCAAATTCTTTAGCCAGACTTGAGCCCTGGAGGGCTGGAGATAGGGCAGTTTTAAGAGGCATCTGAACTGTAGCATCGGAGTGCTTCTGACAAGACACTGATGGAGTGAATGATGGTGAAAAGGTTTCTTTTTTTTGTCACTATAATAATAATAATAATAAATAAATAAATAATAATATATTTTATATAACTTTTGAATACCTTCAGTGTGTTGGAGTTTTCTTACCTATCTAGACTGAAGAGGACACTGTCATTACAACATTCCATCCTCTGAACCACAGTCATAATGTCACTTGCAAAATCAGTCATATAGATACCTTGTTAACGGAGCCTTGAACAGTTGAAATATGACATAGTTACATGAGGTGTTCGCGCGGCAGACTATCTTATCGTCTTATATCAATTTTTTTATCTTTGTAAACTAACCTAACCTAACTCAACCTAAGTTAGAAATGGGTTGCCAACCTTATGTGAAAGTGAGACAATTTTTGGAGAAGTGGTTTACATTTCCATTATTTCCTGACTCTATGATATTTTTTGCACTGAATTTTTTTCTTCGCTGAAACACAAGTGTCCAGTTATACTACAATGTGAGCAGGGGCAAGAAAGTGTAAGGAAACTTGCCCATACTTTTCCCAGACTTGGATACTTAACCCGGTAGCTCTCGGTTGTGTGCCAAGCCTAGGCTCTAAATAAAATCTGAAGAGGGGATTAATTCCTCTTCCTTCAAGGATGTGCCTGGAAGCTAATGAAGGAATCTCGATTCAAGGAACTGGAGGTACCCTTTCCTTACTCGAAACATATATAAACCCACTTCAGTTCGTATTCCTTAAGCATTGTATGACCCGTACGGGTTTAACGCCCTCTATTACAATAATCTTATTAAGAAACATTGACAATTCTTACTCCCCTGGCATACTGGAGGGCGTGACAGCTGAGCCAAGACTGAAGAAGATGAAGCCAGCATCACCACCATCTTGTACCCAGTCTTCAAGGTCCTTCTAGAAAAGATTATTCATGTAAAATAATTTTTATTATTTTTTTTAACACATCGGCCGTGGCCCGACAAAGAAAAGCTTTCATTATCATTCATTCCATCACTGTCTTGCCAGAGGCGCGCATACATTACAGTTATACAACTGCAACATTAACACCCCTCCTTCAGAGTGGAGACACTGTACTTCCCATCTCCAGGAATAAAGTCCGGCCTGCCGGTTTCCCTGAATCCCTTCATAAATGTTACCTTGCTTACACTCCAACAGCACGTTAAGTCCTAAAAATCATTTGTCTCCATTTGCTCTTATCTAACGCGCTCACGCACGCTTCCTGGAAGTCCAAGCCCTCTCGCACACAAAACATCCTTTACCCCCTCCCTCCAGCATTTCCTTGGCTGACCCCTACCCCGCCTTCCCTCCACTACAGATTTATACACTTTCGAAGTCATTCTATTTCCTTCCCTCCTCTCTACATGTCTGAACCACCTCAACAACCCCTCCTCAGCCCTCTGGAAAAATAGTTTCGGTATCTCTCACTCCTCCTAATTTCCAAACTACGAATTCTCTACATTATTTTCACACTACGCATTGCTCTCAGACATGACATCTACATTGCCTCCAGCCTTCTCCTTGTTGCAACATTCACTACCCATGTTTCAGACCCATATAAAAGCGTTGGTGTATAGAATATATCACATCATATTAAATTGAGAATTACACAGCACCGAGTGAATTCAATCGACTTTGTTTTGAATACTGAGAACTAAAAGTAGTGTGACGCAGCGCAGCAGCTAGACGTACAGTCAGTTGCGCTTTGTATGAATGTTCGTGCCTGCAAACACAAAATCAAAATCTTCCACATATAAAGAGAACCAAATTCCCAAGAAAGTGCTGAGGCTTGGCCATTAATAGATAACAGAAACAGGGATTTAAGAACACATCCTTGTGGAATTCCTCAGCTTAATCAATAGCAGCTTTTTAAGCTGTTATTGATCCAGACACTATTATGTTGTTTTCTAATGAAAGCTTTGAGAATAAATGGGAGTTGGCCTTGTAGAACCAAGGAAACAAACTAGAAATGTGTAGGAGGTAACTTACTTTTGAGAGAGGTTGTGATGGACGCAGGGGTATGCCTCCACAAGAACCACGGGAGGAACATAAGTACGAGCTTGGGTAATCGATGGTTTGAGCACTGTAGAAAATTCAACAAAATCTGACCTTTGTTAGCCTTACACATGTATAAAATCACTTTTGTTTTCTTTAAAAGGCACAAAAAACAGAATGTGCAGCAGGTCTCACAACGTTTTCGTTTTAATGTGAGTTTTATCATGTTATATAAAGCAACACCAACTAAAACGTTATCAGAATTGAAAACTTGCACTGAAAAATGTCTCTCTTTTAAACATTTCTCAGTCCATATTTCCGTCCTTCCTGGTAATTCCATTGTCAAATCAATCGGGACGAGGGAAAAATAGAGAAGGCGAAACGACCATTCTTTAAAAGTAAGGGGTAAAGGGAATTTTCGGTAGCAGAGTAGAAAGAGTAGTAAAAGTAATAGTTGTAGCAAATTTTAAGAAGACTTGTAATAAATGTTTTGGAAACTGGAAGCAAATGTTAGGAGACTTGTAGCAACCGTTAGGAAACTTGAATCAGATATTAAAAAACTAACAGTAAATGTTAGAAGACTTGCCTGCTCGTATATTCGTCTCTTGGATGTGAATCATTAGCTTTAACCCCCAAGCTATACCCATCACTCGAATAATGTTAATAATAATAATAATAATAATAATAATAATAATAATAATAATAATAATAATAATAATAAAAGTTGTAACTAACCTATAATCAGTACAAGACTTGCATTTGAACCGATTTCCGAAAAAACTGGGCATATCATCTGGACAAAGGCCGCGGCGACGACATTCAGATTCCATTCTGTGGAAAATGGAGCACGTGAAACCATGACTAGCGTTGTCCTATATTATTTCTTCTCTGCTGGGAAAATATATATTAAAAGAATGTAAATAGTTAGTAAGGTATTCGTTTAGTATTCAATAAAATTGGGCATGTCAGAGGTGGGTTGGTACCCTAGTTTACATCAGCAGTGTGTGGGTATTCAAGCCTACATAACACTTTGCATCATGGGATTAACACTTCTTTAAGTGTGAGGGAAAAGTAGGAGGACTGGAATGGGTTGTGCTATTTTGTTTATCAGGTGAGATGGGAGATTTTATCTTACTATGGATAACGTTTAAACACTGACTCGGTTAGGAGAACTTCTGGTTATTTGGCCCAGAGCTTCGTCATAAAATGAACCTCATGTCATTGGAAATTTTATTTTGCGATATTATAAACGAGAGTTTTGTTTAACCAATCTTTACCATTTGTCATATCTTTAATGATTAAATTTATGTAGTGGAGACCTACTACTACTACCCTTCCTCTCACTCTCTCTCTCTCTCTCTCTCTCTCTCTCTCTCTCTCTCTCTCTCTCTCTCTCTCTCTCTCTCTCTCTCTCTCTCTCTCTCTCTCTCTCTCTTTACACAGGGTTTGACAAGGTTAAGGATCCCTAGCTTTATTGACAAGCTATTTACAGGTTAAGGATTCCTAACTTTATTGGCAAGCTAAGAGCCGTTACCTACATCAGCTCATTTGAAAGCATTTTTATTGTTATGAGACATACAAGTAGGGAACAGGATGAAGTTGGAGCCATCTGTTGGCCAGAATTTTCATTTGATCAACTGACTTTATCTCTTTGACATCATTATACTGTACGAATGTGTTCCATACTCAGGTCATCCTGAGTATATATAATCTCAGATGGAGTGATGTTCTGGAGAAGGGTACAGCCAGAGTGAAGTTGCTGCTTTCTGCCCGTCTTGTGGATCCAAGTGTGGTACTTTGACAATATTGGCCTTGTACATAACAGTAAGGCCACCCATATGCCTCCTGTGTTGAAGGCTCTGCTGAAATGACAGATCTATCCAGGATGGGTCCAGGCGAGAGATGAGACGTCTTGCTCTGTTCTCTACTCTGTCAAGCAGTCTCAGTCTCTCTCTCTCTCTCTCTCTCTTCTCTCTCTCTCTCTCATATTTCATTCTTCTGCCTACAAGTGTCATTAATTTTTTAATATGATCAATTGCATTTTTAAATTATTATCGTCATATTTTGCTGATGTGGGTCCTGCAGATTTTTTCATGAAGCAATGACTGGTTTAATTTGTTGGATTTTAAACTTATCGAGATCACAAGAGACAGAAAACAGTCGCTAGTTAGGTACGTTAGATTCTGAAACAACTGAAAACATGGACGTCAGAAAGTGTGTATTTGTAAATTCCACCAAGAGGCAAAAAATACTTTAATTCGTAACGTGAAATTAAAGTAAATTTTGAGTCTATCTACAATAAAAGGTGCTTTAAAACTGTTGAATTTACCGGTTAAACTACCTTAGGCCCTTAGGGTTTTTGAAAGTCCTGTCGCAGCTACGATATACCACCTCCCCCAGGATGCAGGAACAACACTCGACTAGCAGAGAGGTATCAATAATCTGATAATTAAAAAGTAGCAGCTGGTGAAAGAGCTTTAACACCTAGAAACCTATTTACTACCAGAAGGGGAGGGGGGGGGGTAAAGGGGTACATGGAAAAAGACTAACCTTCAGGTAGCTATTTACTGGCAAGTGGACAATGGCAGGTATAAGGACGCGAACACCTCGTTACCTATTTACTGTTAGGTGAGAAAAGGACAACGAGTGTCTTGAAGGTTTGATTAATTACAGAAAAATAAAAATAATAGTTACATACCTTGGTGATAAATAGTAAAATAACATAGCGTCCATAGCAACATCAGAGAGAGAACTGATTGCTCTCTCCATGAACGTCATAGGATGTTTGAAATCCAACATGAAAGATGCATCATAGGAGGGAAAGCGTGTGTTTCTATTATTGATGGTGCTGGTGCTAACAACCCTGCTGGGCTCACCTATATAAAAAGGGAAACCTGATGATGTAAAAATATGCTTATTAAGTTTATGATAATAATATAATAGTAATAGTAATTTTGATACTAGATGTATTTCTTTCTCGCGAAGCGAGAAATTATGAGAAGCGCAGTTTAATTTACCATAATTTAATAATAAAAAAACGCATGAAATATATTTTTTTTCGTTAGGTTCAGAATGATTTTTGCGATGTTTTTGCATACACAAATTTTAGCATGCTTTATTCGGCAAAAAAGCGTTGCTATTTAAACCAAAATGGCAAGTTTAACCTATTCGGCACGACACACACAAACACACACACACATACATACACACACACACCACACACCCCACACAACACACACCCCACACACACACACACACACACACACACACACACACCAACAAATATTGCATATTTAGTGTGGGATATAAAGTATGTGTACATGTCTATATAAATATATAAGAGAGGGGTGGGTTGATTGCATCTTCTTGGACTGCAAGAAGGCCTTTGACACAGTTCCTCACAAGAGATTAGTGCAGAAGCTAAAAGCATCAGGCGCATATAACAGGAAGGGCACTGCAATGGATCAGAGAATACCTGACAGGGAGACAACAACGAGTCATGGTTACGTAATGATGTACACAGTGGGCACCTGTGACGAGCGGGTCCCACAGGGGTTCGGTCCTAGGACCAGTGCTATTTTGGTATATGTGAACGACATGATGGAAGGGTTAGACTCAGAAATGTCCCTGTTTGCAGATGATGTGAAGTTAATGAGGAGAATTAAATCTGATGAGGACCAGGCAGGACTTCAAAGAGACCTGGACAGACTGGACACCTGGTCCAGCAAATGCTTCTCGAATTTAATCCTGCCAAATGAAAAGTCATGAAGATGGGGAAAAAGGGCACAGAAGACCACAGACCGATTTATAGGCTAGGTGGCCAAAGACTGCAAACCTCACTCAAGGAGAAAGATTTTGGGTGAGTATAACACCGAGCATGTCTCCGGAAGCAGACATCAACCAGATAACTGCTGCACCCATATGGGCGCCGGGGCAAACCTGAGAACAGCATTCCGATACCTTAGTAAGGAATCGTTCAAACCCACTGTACACCGTGTATGCAGGCCCATACTGGAGAAATGCAGCACCGTTTGGAACCCGCACTTGATAAAGCACGTCAAGAAACTAGAGAAAGTACAAAGGTTTGCGACAAGGTTAGTTCCAGAGCTAAGGGGAATGCCCTATGAAGAAAGATTAAGGAAATCGGCCTGACGACACTGGAGGACAGGAGGGTCCAGGGAGACATGATACGACATATAAAATCTCGTGGAATAGACAAGGTGGACAAAGACAGGATGTTCCAGGGAGGGACACAGAAACAAGAGGCCACAATTGGAAGTTGAAGACACAAATGAGTCAGAGAGATAGTAGAAGTATTCTTCAGTCATAGAGTTGTTAAGGCAGTGGAAAGCCTAGAAAATGACGTAGTGGAGGCAGGAAACCATACCCCTTTTTTAAGACGGGGTTTTGATAAAGACAGGGGCCGGGGGGGAGAGGGGGCCCGTAAAAACCCGGTAAAGAGGGGGGGCCGGGAGCTAAAAACTCGACCCCTGAAAACCCCAAAATAGGTAGAACAAATAGGGGGAGTACATAAAATTTTATTTTTTTAAATTAACGCACGGCCAAAACCCCCCAAAGGGGTTTGGCCCAAAAAAAAAAAAATTTCACCATAAATTATTTTCCACACTGTCTTCCCAAAAGGGTGTTTAAACTCTAAAATTTTTAAAAAACCTGAAATTTTTGGGAACCCCCCTTTCAGAGTGAAAGGCACCTGTATTTCCCATCTCCGGGAACTCAAGTCCGGCCTCAGGCCCCCCCTGAATCCCTTCAAAAAAAATGGTTAAAAACTTCTCACATTTCCAACAGCACGCCCAAGTTTTAAAAAAACCAAATTTTTTTCCTCCATTCACCCCTACAAACACGCTCATGCATGCCCGCGGGGAAGCCCAAGCCCCTCGCACAAAAAACCTTTCCTTTACCTCCCCCCTTAAACCCTTTTTTCCAAAGGGCCGCCCCCAACCCCGTTTTTCCCCCAAATACGGGCCCTGATACACCCCTTGAAGTCATTCGTTTCCCCCCCCCATTCTCTCTACATGACCAAAACCCCCTCAAAAAACCCTTCCTCACCCCTCGGGTAAAACCCTTTTTGGGCAATCCCGGCCCCTCCTCCTAACTTCCAAACAAAACAAATTCCTGCTTTAAATTTTCCCACCCCCACACATTGCTTTCAGAAAAGACATCTCCACTGCCCCCAGCCTTCTCCTCGCTGAAAAAATTTTTCACACCCCTGCTTCACACCCTTTAAAAGGGACGTTGGGTTTTAAAAACTTTTACCCTCAACATTCCCCTCTTTCCCTCCGGGACAAAGTTTTTTTCCCTCCACAACTCCAAAAGTGCACCGGGCTAAATTTTTTTTCCCCTCATAAATTCTATATTCCCCTCATCTTTCATAAAACCCACCGCTGACAGTCCACTCCCAAATATCGAATAAATTCACCTCCTCCATACTCCTCCCCAATCTGATATCCAATCTTTTCATAAACCTAATTTTTTTTTACCCTCATAACCTTACTTTTTCCTTTCTTCACTTTTAATTTTTTTTTTTTTGGGCATACCCTACCAAATTCATCCCCAAAACCTCTGCAACTTCTCCAAAAACCCCAAGAGAAACAGTGTCATCAGCAAAGGGCAACTGGGGAAAAACCCTCCCCACTTTATGTGTGATTCTTTATCTTTTAACTCCAGCCTCCTCCCAAAGGGACCCTCGATTTATTTTCTTTTAAAACCCCATCTATAAATTTTTAAAACCACAACCACGGTAAACATCACAATCCTTGCAAAGGGCCTACTTTTACGGGGGAAATAACATACTCTAATTTGGGACCCTCCTACCCTGTAAAACTCTTCACTTGCTTTCAGTAACCTACCCCCAAACACCATACACCTGCAAATTTTCCCAAACATTGCCCTCCTATCCACCCTTTTCAAAACCCCTTTTTCCCAAAACCCATAAATGCCCAAAAAACCTCTTTACCCTTGCCCTAAATACGGGTTCCACTTATATGTTTAAAACTGAAACCCCGGGCCCCACACAACCCCTCCCCTTTCCAAAAAGCCCTTTTTTAAACCGCTATCCTATTCTCCTTTTAAACTTTAATTTTTCAATAAAAAACTCTACCTTTACTTTTTTAACCGGGTTTTTACTCAACAGACTTATCCCTTTTTAATTTTTGCACCCCACTTTTGCCCCCCTTTGCTTTTATAAAAAAGGAAACTATGCATGTTTCTCAAACCCTAGGTCCCTTACCCTCTTCCATAAAATTTATTAAAATAGCCCCCCAACCACTCTAAAACTATTTTCCCCCCCGTTTTTAAAACATTTTACCCTTTACCCCATCAATCCCAGTTTTCCTTACCCTTTTTTCATTTTATCTCCCTTTGCCTCACGAATTTCCTCCAAACTCAAAAATGGTCTTCCTACTCCTAAAAGATTTTATTCCTCCTTCCCCTAAAACACAAAAATCAAAAGCTTCCCTATCTTCATAAATTTAAAAAATTTCCTAAAAAATATTCCCTCCTTTTTCCCCAAATTCCCCTCAAAACTCTCCTTTTAAATAACTCCCTTCCTTTTTTTTAACTGAAAAATCTATTTTTTGTTCTCAAAGGCCCTTCCTTAACTTTTTTAAATCCCTCCAAAATTTTTTTCTTATTTTCAAAAAAAATTTTTTTGAAAACGTTCATTTGCTTCTTTTTAATTGCTTCCCCACTTTTTAAAAACCTCTCTTTTTTTCCCTCCATATACTTTTTCCCTTCCTTGCATCACTTCTTTTTTGAAAAAAAACTTCTCATAGCAAACTTTTTCCCCTTTACTACTCAATCATAAATTCCCCCAAATCGCTCCTTTTCCCTCCCGACCCATTTTCCGGGAACCACAAACTTCTGCTAAAACACACAAAACACTACTTTTTTAAAACCCTCCCCCTTTCCCTCTTGGGACCCCTTTTCCCCTAGGGCTCTTTTTTTTTTTTTGCCCATTTATCCTCTAATAGCTGTTTTTTTATTTTTAAACCCTAATGCCTCCTCTTTTATTTTTTAAAAACCTTCACCTCTCTCTTCCCTGAGGGCTTATATTCCTTGTATCCCATCTCCCTTTTTATTCAGGTAGCTAAAAAACAAAAAGGTGATTTATATGCGGGGCCCCTCTTAAACTTTTAACCTCCTGAAGTCTACTAAAGGGGGTTTCTTTTATCTACCAATACATAACCCCAACAAACTACTTTTTCATTTCCCCCTCCCATCAAAATTTTAAAAACCCATTTATCCTTTTTTTCCCTTAAAAATAGGGTATTCCCTTTTAACAAAAACCCCTTTTCCCTATACAAATTTAATCAAAGGGTCCCATTTTTAAATTTACCCCCCGGGCACCCCAAATTTTAGTCCACACCCTCTCAAAAAGTTTTCTCCTACTTTAGCTTTCATCCCCTACCCCCAATTACCCCTCTAAATTGGTTAAAAAGGTTTTCCTTTTGCATTAAACTTAACATCTCCTAAAATCTCTCTCTCTCCTCTACATTCCTCTTTTCTCCAGGGCATACACGTTTTTTATGACCCACTTTTCGCACCCAAACCCTTTATTTTTAATCCACATAACCCTTTGGGTTTTTAAAACATTCATTTTCCTTTTCCCCTTTCCCAATAACTGACCCTTAAACCCTTTACTGCTACCCCTTCCTTAGCTCAAATCTACAGATACCCCCAGTTTTTAACCCCAAAAAATTTTTAATTTTTTTTTCCCCCCCCAAAAACCCCCTCCCCACTTCACTTTGTTTCGCTTAGGCCAGGACTTTAAATTTTTTTCATTCAAAACATCAGCAATCACTTTTTTTCCCTTGTAATCTGCACAACATCCCCCGCCATTCAAGCACCCCATTTTTTATAAATTTTTTTCTTCTTT